CGATAATATCGGCAAAACGATATATCGGTCGGGCTCTAATTTGTTTGATCAAAAATAGAGTAAAATTGTGAAATATTATCGCAATTTAAAATAACGGTTTTCTATTTTAATACAATACATTGTAAAATGTAATTTATTCCTGTGATGAATCTTCAGCATCATTACACCAGTCTTCAGTGTCACATGATCCTTCAGAAATCATTCTAACTGATTTGCTGCTCAAGAAACAATCATTATCATCAATGTTGAAAACAGTTGTGCTGCTTAATATTTTTGCGAAAGCTGATTTTTTTTTTTTTGAGTTAAAAATCACAGCATTTATTTGAAATATAAATATTTTCTTAATAATGTCACTTTTGTCAATTTAATGCGTTCTTATTGAATAAAACTATTAATTTCTTTCAAAAGAAAAAAATACTGACCCCAAATTTGAGAAATATTTATCATTATTTTTCTTCCATAGTGCCAGTGACCCATTCATATTAAGCCTTGGTGTTCGTGCAGGTAATGCAGGTTCAAGTCTAGCCTGCAACATGCCCTTATCATGCTCCCCTAATAATTTCACAGTACTTTCTTCTTTTTTATCTAAAAAGTCCCAAATTTAAAAACTGTATTTTTCAGAAATAAGCTATATTTATGCTCATAAAGTTTCCACATAATGTTCCAATGCTGTTGCTCTAGTGGAATAAATAGAAAAGGCAAACAACATAAATAGAATTATTTGTGTTAATTCATGGATTTCTGGAATTTTCCTCACATTCATCTGAATGAGGTCACAGCTGCAGTGTCTTAATATCACCACTAGAGGAGCCCTTCATATTCACTCCAGTCCATTCTGTTGTCTGCAGTACTGCTCTCCACCACTAGAGGGTAGAATTACTGTGTACTCTTTGCTCTGAAAGTGTACAATGGATTTTCCTGTTCATTAGTGAATATTAATGGCTTGTGTGCGGCTGAGTAAATGAGGATCATGTGTGTTTAAGTATTTATTGTACATATGGGTGTGTAAGGACATCCTCTGTATATGTCTGTCCCAAACAGCCTGCCGGATGTGATGTCTAATCGGTCGGCTTTGTTGTGTTTTGTCTGCGTGAGTGTAAATGTGTTTTTGTTTGTTTCTTCGTCAGGCGGGCCGTCAGTGTAGCGCCCTCTCTGCCGAGTGCAGCAGGACGCTGCTGGTTTGTTTCCTGTGGGTGTTGAAGAATGCAGACGCTGGGCTGTTGGAGCGCTGGGTCTCAGACCTGTCTGTGCCACAAATCAACCGCTTGCTTGATCTTCTTCACCTCTGTCTGTCCTGTTTCGAATACAAGGTACATCCACATGCCCTTCTCAGTAATGACTATTTGGTATTTAGAAACATTGTCCATTCAGTCATGGTGAGGTACTGAAGAGTTTAGGAGGATTGATAACTGTTTTATCTTAAGTACCAACGAAGCAATAAGAGTAAAATGCAGGTCAATCAAACGTCATGTTGCACCTGTTGCTTTGCTTAGTCTCCCAAAGGATATGCATATCCTTCCGAACGCTTTTTAAAATCTTGGAAAATCAGTGAATTTTAAATTGAAAATCTTTTAAAGACTTTTTTTAGGATTGGATAGTATGTATACTAATAATACCATATTTATTAGCAAACATTACATTATTAAAAAAAATTAAATATATATAAAAATAAATATATGGTAAAAATATGACATGACCTCTTTCAAATTCAAAAAACTGTAATTTTGGAAGTCGTTTCTTATTTTACACCATTTCCTCTGACACATTCAGGAATTTTTGCTTTATATAGTGCATTTTAGTGTTGCAGGTTGACAAGTTTTTGATCATTCTGTTCATTGTGCCTCTTCTCAGGGAAAGAAAGCCCTGCAGAGGATAAACAGTCTGACCTTTAAGAAGTCTCAGGACATGAAGGCCCGTCTGGAGGAGGCCATACTGGGCACCATCGGCGCAAGACAGGAGATGGTCCGTCGCTGCAGAGGTACAACGGACGCTCTGTTGGTATCTGTGCGAGTACATGTCAAAGCATTGCATTTGTCATTTACCTCTGTTCCTGTGCGTTCCTCAGAGCGCAGTCCTTACGGAGGTCAGGAGAACGTCCGCTGGAGGAAAAACGTCACTCACTGGAGACAGAACGCAGACAGAGTGGACAAGTGTGTCTTTTTGACTCTTCTCTCACTGAATATCTTTTTGTTGCTATTCACATTCACTGGACTTCTGAATGATGTTGCTCTAGCTGTCTGTCGATTTAATGAAGCACATAATCACTGGCTACACATACAGTTGTGTGTGTGTGTGTGTGTGTGTGTGTGTGTGTGTCATATGGGCACTATGAATAGCTTACAGTAAACACTGTCTCTGTGCAGAACCAAGGCAGAGTTGGCGCAGGAGTCGGTAGTGGATGGAAACTTGGCGACAGAAGCTGCTCTCATAGCCCTGGACACACTGGAGATCATTGTCAAAGTAAAGCAGACTTTGTGACTCATTTGAATGCATTAACTACAAATACCATGTGTTACGACATGAGTCATTTTCACATAGTTCATAAGTGTTTGTGCGTGTTTTTGCATCAGACGGTGGTAATGTCAGAGCTGAAGGAGAGTGTTTTGGGTGGTGTGCTGAGAGTCCTCCTCCACAGTATGGCAGGAAACCAGAGCGCACTCTTCCTGCAGCACTGCTTCAGCACACAGAGAGCTTTGGTCTACAAGGTTTGTGTCTGTTGTTAGCAGAGCTTGTTAATCCCTAACACTAATTACTGAACACCAATCCTGCACTAGGGTCATTTGACAAAATAGCCAGAATTTTCATATCAATGCATGCCTAAAATATTTTCATTTGGAATTTGCGTAAATTGCATTAAATAAGTGTTTGTTTAGATCTTACTAATTACTGAACACCGGTTCAAAACCCATCTTATTTAAAATCATTAAATTCTATCACATGCACGCTACCATTCATTTTTGAAATAAGTCTCTTTTGCTTACCAAGGCTGCATTTATTTGATGAAAAATACAGCAAATATTGTTGAATATTAGTACAATTTAAAACGACTGTTTTCTATTTGAATATATTTTAGAATGTAATTTATTCCTGTGATCAGAGCTGAATTTTCAGCATCATTACTCCAGTCTTTAGTGTCACATGATCCTTCAGAAATCATTCTAATATGCTGATTTGATGCTTAAGAAACGTTTCTTATTATTATAAAAAAAAAGTATGAATATTTTTTAAATAGAAATGTTTTGTAACAACATGTATAAATGTGTGTTTGCTCTCACTTTTGACCAAATTAATGTGTCCTTGCAGAATAAAACTAGTGCTGTCAAACGATTAATCGCGATTAATCGCATCCAAAATAAGTTTTTTGTTTACATAATATATGTGTGTGTGCTGTGTATATTTATTATGTATATATTAATACACACGCATGTATATATTTCAGAAAAATATGCTATGTTTATATATTCAATAGATTTATATATAATATAAATTATATTAATATAAATATATAAATGTAAATACATGTAAATATTTTCAAAATATATACTGTATGTGTGTGTATTTATATATACATAATAAATGTACACAGTACACAGCACTAATAAAAACATTATTTTCTTAAAAAAAAAAAAACATTTAAAATATTACTGATCTTAAACTTTTGAACTGTAGTGAACTTTTGAACTTGGTCCTTCCACTGGCAATTAAAGAACCCCATGTCACTCCATCACTACTAAAAAACACTCAAAAACAGAGTAGCAGCTATATAGAATAGAATAGATTTTACTGTCATTGTTTTAAACAACGAAAGACTGTTTAGTAGCTCACAGGGTTTTGGCATAATAGACAAACATAAATAGATGCAAATAAAAAAATAAAATAGACAAGAAGAGAGGTAATCCAAAAGGTAGTATATACAATGGTTAGTGCAAGATATTGTAGTGCACACTGGAGCAAATTAAACAAGAACAAACAAATCACCAACATTCTTTCATTGTTACAATGAGATTTTGTAGACTTGTACCTCTCACATTTTCTTAAGAAATGTAAACACATAGTTCTTCATGCTGTTTGTGTATTTTTCGAAAATCATTGTCATTAAATAAAACAAACTTGAAACTGTAAGACCTTCCCTTGTTGTTCAGGTTAGCCTTGTGTACATATTATTTGACATAGTTCACAAAGGAAATTGTAGACGAAACTAAGCTTTGCACATGTGTTTCTGTAGTTCCCAGAGATGCTGTTTGAGGAGGACACTGAGCTCTGTGCCGATCTGTGTTTGCGGTTGCTGCGGCACTGCAGCAGCAGCGTGAGCTCCGTACGCAGCCACGCCAGCGCCTCCCTCTACCTGCTCATGAGACAGAACTTTGAGATCGGCAACGTAAGGCACAATGTCACTTTAAACTCCTATCCTTGATTCAGCTTTCCCTACATATAGAGGAGAAATATGATCAACTCTATCCTGTCTTTTCGCCTGTTCTGTAGAATTTCGCCCGTGTCAAGATGCAGGTTACCATGTCTCTGTCTTCACTCGTGGGAACCTCGACGAAGTTCAATGAAGAGCATCTGCGACGCTCTTTAAAAACTATTCTCACATATGCCGAGGATGACCTGGAGCTCAGAGATTCCCCCTTCCCTGAGCAGGTATCAATCACTTGGATCGGAGCTGGTAGCTAAAAGGTTGTTGGTTCGAATCCCACAGGGGATAAAAACCAAACACCCTTCATTAATGTGCCCTTTAAGGATGCATAAAGGGATAGATTTGTGACCCTGGAGCACAAAAGCAGTCATAAGTAGCACAGATATATTTGTAGCAGTAGCCAAAAAAACATTATATGGGTCACAATAATTGATTTTTCTTTTATGCCAAAAATTAATAAGGATATTAAGTAAAGATCATGTTCCATGAAGATATTTTGTAAATTTCCTACCGTAAATATATCAAAACTTAATTTTTGATTAGTAATATGCATTGCTAAGAACTTAATTTGGACAAATTTAAAGGTGATTTTCTCAATATTTAGATTTTTTTTGCACCCTCAGATTCCAGGTTTTCAAATAGTTGTATCTCAGCCAAATATTGTCCTATCCTAACAAACCATACATCAATGGAAAGCGTATTTATTCACCTTTCAGATTATGGATAAATCTCAATTTAAAAAAAAAAATAAAAAAATTCAGAAAAATGTGTCCTTATGACTGGTTTTGTGGTCCAGGGTCACATTTTTGTATTTTTTAATACAGGAACACTTTGTACTTTAGCATAATTATTAGCAGATATAGTCACTTCGGGGTTATTATCAACAACTAAAACCATTTGTTAAACTGAAATAACATAAAATATTTAAAAAATAAAAAAGTTATTTCCGATATTTGCCAAGGCAGCATTTCTTATTTCCACATAAAACACAACAAATGCTTTAAAACTTTCAAATTAAAGTGAAAACAGAAAATATAAAAATAAATTCAAATTCAAAATAGTAACAAAACCTAGCATATCATTGATATTACCATAATAGTCACTTTTCTTCTGTCTTAAGGGAAGACAGAAGAAGATAAGGGATAAGCTGAGATAAGGGAAGTCGTGGCCTAATGGTTAGAGAGTCGGACTCATAACCCAAAGGTTGCGGGTTCGAGTCTCGTACCGGCAGGGATTGTAGGTGGGGGGAGTGAATGTACAGCGCTCTCTTCCACCTTCAATACCACGACTGAGGTGCCTTTGAGCAAGGCACCGAACCCTATACTCACTATGTCTTGTCTGTAGGTGCAGGATCTCGCCTTCAACCTCCACATGATTCTAACTGACACTGTGAAGATGAAGGAGCACCAGCAGGACCCAGAGATGCTTATAGACCTCATGTACAGGTCAGTGCTTTATCATAAGGGTCAGTATCGCTTTTGGTGTCCTGTACATAAATAACTCATTTGACATGATAACTTAATATAGTTATATTACTATATTAGGGTAAGTTTTTATATTCATAACAAAAGCATTACTTGGCTCTTTAGATACATTTTCTAGATTTTGTTTAGGTTTGTATAAGAGGATGCTTGTTATTTTGCTATGTCCCATGCACTGCTCATTAAATTTGAATGAGAGTAGAATATAGTAAAATCATAAAATTAAAAAAAATTGTTCTCTATTAATATTTTGTTATATTTTTGTTAAACTCAATTTGAGTGTATTGATCATTTGGTAATAAAAATTACATTTTTATTTAATAAAAAAGAAGAGTTTGTCCATGTCTCTTGAATGGTTGTCCACCCTGTCGTATTCGGGAATCCGTCCCTTTCAGAAAAGGCCATTGCTGTATTCATTCAAAATCTGCTCTTTCGCAGGACATGCCTCTGAGTGCAGCAGAAATTGCACGGCAATACAGAAAACGTCGGGATGCAAACCCCGAACGAAGAGAAGCATACCTTAAGAAAGAAAGTGAGAAATGGAGGAAAGATAGAGATACAGGGAAGAAGACAGGTATTAATGAGAGAGGAAAACGTGCTCCAAGGAAAAAATGGAGGGAGGCAAAGAAAGCTGCCAGAGCTAAAGCCAGGACAACAGTGGAGTTGTTATTGTTATTGTTTGTGAATGTATATCTAGATTTCTTTTTGGAAGTGTGTTTCGCTCTGTTCATAATGTGGTATTTACATGGAGTTTTTAGTTAAGATGTACTGAATCGATATGAATTAAACTAAACTAAAATGAATGGGGGGGGCGGTATATCAATGTGATCGAGAATGTAATTTTATTATTTTTTCAAAGTTAAATAAATTTGTCATTGTCATTTTTTGTCATGCTTTGTGTGTTCTGCTTTGTGTCCACCCTGTCATCTTGATATTTTAAAATAATATTTAAAATAATAATTAAATCATATCTATGTAATCCAGTGTGTTCAATAGCTAGGTGTGGGGGCAATAACATGCAAACAAAAAACTGCATCCAAATATCAGTTTTCTCCAAATAAGAAAAAATACATGTGCGAATTGAGTTTCTTTAAAAGCACATGGTTTACATAAAATGTTTTATACATTTATAATTTGAAGGCAAACAAATAACCCTGTTTAGGAAAGGGACAATCATACCTTTCAGAAAATATAATTTGCATCTTAATATTGCAATGAAAACGTATTTAAAAGTAATATATATGTCCATGACAGGGTGGACATGTGGTTTATGCTTCAAATGATGGCCTATAATTATCTAAAAAAATGTGTGGGAGCTCAGCTAATATGTTTCTATAGTACTTGAGTGTCTACTGTTTATGACATAAAGCAAATGGGAGATTAAAACCAAAATGTTGGAGTATTGTGAGGGTTGAAAGGCACTCTATGGTGATATTGACCCATAAAAACCAAAGGACATTCAGTGGCCCTCTGCTGTATGTACAAATGGCTCTTCTCTGTGTAGGATTGCTAAGGGCTATCAGAACTCTCCTGATCTGAGGCTCACGTGGCTGCAGAACATGGCAGGGAAGCACTCAGAGAGAGGGAACCACGCGGAGGCAGCACACTGTCTGGTGCATAGCGCCGCCCTTGTGGCGGAGTACCTCAACATGCTTGAAGATTGCCGCTACCTCCCTATCGGATGCGTGTCATTCCAGGTAAAGTCCTGTGTGTGTGTTCTTGAATATATACGATTTATGAGGACACTTCCTGTGTCCTTGTAAACCAAATGGCTTAAAAACATGCTAAAAGAAGCATCTAATAATTGAATAAAAAGTTAGTTAAATGTTTCAACCAGGAAAGGTTTTATTGTTGTTTACTAAAAAAAAATTTTTTTTTTAATTGAAATAAAATTTAATTAAAAAAATAAGGTAATGTACAAAATAATGTAACTAACCAAAACAAGTTCAACTTAAAATGCTAATATTACTAAAACTGAAATAAAGCTGTGTAGGAATATAAAAAAACCCTAATGAAAATGAAAATAGCACATAACAAAATTACATAAAAAATTAAAACTAAATTAAAATTAAAACTGAAAACTACTTTAAAGTAATAAGTAATACATAATAGTATATGAATAATGACAATAATGTTATAACAAATTAACAATAATAACAAAAAATAATAACAGAAAGGAATCAGGGAATTCTAAATTGTTTGTTATCAGTTCTGGAAAAGCTTGAAATGAAATATTTTGTCATTTTATTTAATACAAATTTTATAAATAGTAATAATAATTCCATAATTATTTGCAAAGATATTATGTAAAATAATTCTACACATTTTAATTAATACTTTTTTTAATTTTAATGAAATAATATAAAGTTTAATAAATTATAATTTTTTATACATTTTCTAAATAAACTTTCATAAGCAAGTAATCATTTTTACATATTGAATGGAATATATTGAAAATGCAAATGAAAAACACATTCTCACTGGTCACTTTGCTGTTTTGATTAAAAAACTTACTGTAATTTATGATAATACCCATGACAAATTTTGTGATTGTTGACACTTCGATTGCATTTCACAGAGTATTTCGTCCAATGTGCTGGAGGAGTCTGCGGTGTCTGATGATATTCTGTCCCCAGAGGAGGAGGGCATCTGTTCAGGGAAGTACTTCAGTGAGTCTGGGCTCGTGGGACTTCTGGAGCAAGCAGCTGCTTCTTTCAACATGGTGAGAACTCACGTCACATCACTCCCCCCTCAGTCATGGAAACTGAGTGCACTGAATCAAATGGATTAGACTCATATCCAAGCCAGCACCGCATATTTTTATGGGATTATTAACTAAAGGATGACTGTAGATTCTGTCTCTCCTCCAGGCTGCCATGTACGAGGCCATAAATGGAGTCTACAAAATCCTTTGTCCCATTCACGAGGCCAACAGAGACTTTAAGAAGCTGGCCTCTGTCCACGGCAAACTGCAGGATGCCTTCAACAAAGTATACAATCAGGTTTGTTGACACAGGAAGTTTGTGTTAAAAGAGCTGAACGTGTCTGCAAGAAGTTCCAATCAATCTTGCACAGTTTCAGGAGTCAATTTGTTGAATGGATATTAAATTTCTACAATATTCATTGTACATTAATTAGTGATCTGTTATTTCTTGTATAAGAAATAAATTATAAAGCCTGCTACTTCATCCAGTATATAACCACAATAGAAAATAGTAATACATAATTTGATTGAGTTGCATTAGGTAAAATTGGGCAGTTGAACAAAAATCATTGTGCTGCTTCATTAAAAAAAAAAAAAATGTTTAATTTAATTAATCATATAATATATATGATATCCTAATCTTATCAGCAGCTTCTTACTGTAAGCTCTACTTTAAACATGAATAGCTCAGATCGTGAATTCTGCATTCCCGATGTGGCATCATAGTTTCATATGAATATTAGTTTTATAATACCTGCAAACTATTTGCCTTTCAGTGAAATGCACCGTTCTGACATTGAAATAAGCTATTATTGTGCTTTATGCAAATACGAGGAGATTTTATTCGGGGAGGCTTATATAAGTTAACATCTTACCTCCATATGTTGCCTAATAAAGTGTTTATAAATGGCGCTGCTTTGTATATAGAGGTAACCGCTGTATTTCTGCTTTTACATAAGCGCCACCTACTGTCAAAGAGTGAATTTGCATGAATTTACATCTGCCGTTTGTATTCAGACCAATTAAGTAATCATTTATTAGGCCAATATATGAAGTTTATAATTTTATAGAACTTTTTTCTTTTTGTCAAAACTTGTGCTGTTTTGACAAAAATAAAAATACTGTGAAGTTGTTTAAAGGGATAGTTCAAAAAAGAAAATTACCCAGTGATTTACTCACCCTCAAGCCATCCTAGATGTATATGATTTTCTACTTTCAGACGAATGCAGTCTCCACACGGCTCCTCCTGAAGCGAATCGATGCATTTGTGTAAAAAATATATCCATATTTAAAACTTCATAAACCGTAATCTCTAGCTTCCGCTAACTGTCGTGCGCATTCACAAGAGAAGTGTAAATATGGACATTTTTTAATATAACTCTGATTGCATTCGTCTGAAAGAGTAAAGCCATATACACCTAGGATGGCTTGAGGGTGAGTAAATCGTGGGGGTAATTTTCTATTCCTTTAAGTACTACTCACCAGGAAATGTGGTTTGCTTGAAGTTTGCTTTCTGCAAATTACAGTTAATATAGATTAACAAAGACATTCCCGCTCACCCTTCAAGTCCAAGGCCAAAGTCCTCATGGAAGTCTAGTTGAACTGTAGCATAAACAGAAGTGAGCTGAGGTACTTATTATAGTCTTTGTGTTGTAGGTTTGCACAGGATGTTCCTTAAACTGAACGAATAAAAGCATCTGAAGCAGGTTCACCCTCACCTCAAGGCTCAAGACTACTTGTGAGGGTGAGTAAATCGTGGGGTAATTTAAATTTTTGGGTAAACTATCCCTTTAAATCATAGTTTTTACGGTTATTGATGTTATACAGGTATGTTTATATCTTAATTTTATTAATTTAATAGTAATTTATCATACCAAATGAACAATTGTATTTGACAACTCTAGAATTTTAAATGTTTTGTGCTCCAGATGAAGCTAGTCTTGGGCTGAGATCTGGACCACAGACATTACTTGCTGAGCTGTGGTGTAAAGTTCTGTGTTATTCTAATGTGTGTGGTTTAGATGCTTGATTGATGTCTTTTCTCTGTCTTGTCGGTGATGATGTGTTTCCTGCTGTGTCCGCACACAGAGCTCAGGATGGGAGGTATGGCTGATCGATCACACTGTGCTTCTGTATTTATCAGTACCATATGTTGTAGTTTATGTAAGAGGGAATTTTCTCCCACACAGAAACTAACTGTCTCTGGTCTTTATCTCTTTTTATTTCTCCATCGGTCTCCCTGTGTGCGTTCTGGATGTTTTCCTGGTGAGTGAACATGAACTTGGTTACCCAACATAAAATTCAAGCTGTTCCATCCCACTGTAAGGTTCACCGTCTCTGACACACTTATGTAAGGCCATTTCACAAGAATGGCACAAGTCAGTGTTGTCCTAGCTAGGGCACATGTGCACGCATTCGGATCCATAAACCCATCCTCCATGCAGTCAGTGTTGTGCCTTTAGGCATGATGTGGCTGAAAGACTACAATTATGTTATTTAGGCTTTTATGTGACACACCATTCTCTTCTCTCTTCTTACATGTATCTCAATTGTTCCTGTCCTAAATGTTCAGGCCATAGAGGATGTTTGGCACCTACTTCCGTGTGGGCTTCTATGGATGCCGCTTTGGAGATCTGGACGAGCAGGAGTTCGTCTATAAAGAGCCTTCCATCACCAAACTAGCTGAGATCTCACATAGACTGGAGGTGCGTTTCTGGTCTGGAGTGATTAAAAGCATAAAAACATTTTTATTTGAATAATAATAACAACTATTATTATTAATAATAATAAGTAATTATGTTGAATAATATTGGTAGCAATTACATTTTTACATTAATTTTTAAATAATTAAAATTATAACCATTTGTTTAACGTTTTCAAGTTGTTTTATTTTTTTTACTTGGATTTGTGTTACTTTGTTTCTAAAAAAATTTTTTTGGGATATATATATTTCTCCTATATTTGAAAGTGTCCTACATTTTAAAGGACGAATAAAAAACACTGTTTACAATTTATATTAATTTATGAGAAATTCTTCATATTTCAGGGGTACAAATCTTTGGTCAGGATCAGGACCGTGGTCTGAAAAATGGTTCTGTGCATCTCAAATGATGCTTTTAATATGATCATTTGTAAGGTTTATGCTGAATTTTTTGTAGGAATTTTACTCTGAACGATTTGGTGATGAAGTGGTGGTGATCATCAAGGACTCCAACCCTGTTGACAAGAACAAACTGGACCCAAATAAGGTCAGATATTATTGCTAACACAAGACTGAAGGCTTCTTATCAAACAAAAACATTTATATTTGGTTAGGATCGTGTATATACTATTGTTGTATTTATATTTAAATTGGCTTTTATTTTTATATACAGGTGCATCTCAATAAATTAGAATGTCGTGGAAAAGTTCATTTATTTCAGTAATTCAACTCAAATTGTGAAACTCGTGTATTAAATAAATTCAATGCACACAGACTGAAGTAGTTTAAGTCTTTGGTTCTTTTAATTGTTTGTAATTATTTTTTTGGTTTTGTTATATATTTTAATTTAGCTTTAATTCATTTTTCCATTTAACTAATTTTAGTACTTCAACTTAAACATATTTTATTTCAGTTTGTTTCATTTTTATTTTTACTTTTTTTTTAAAGGGGTCATATTTAATGCGATTAAAATTTTTCCTTTCTCTTTGGAGTGTTACAAGCTGTTCGTGCATAGATAAGATCCCTAAAGTTGCAAAGACTAAAGTCTCAAACCCAAAGAGATAAGAAGTTAAGACTCATCCACGCTCTCCTAAAACGCCTCGTTTAAACACGCCCCCACATGTCTACGTCACTGTGTGGGAAGATTTGCATAACGCCGCCCAAATGTTCACGCAAAGAAAGAAGGTGTAACTTTATTGTTGCCACCCGCCGCCATGTTGTGAAGATGCTGTGTGTTTCGTTGTGAAAGCTGTAAGAAAAAGTGAAGACGTCGAAGATCTTGATGAAGAATAACTTTTATTACAGAATAGTAGTGACAAAGTAAGTACAAACCTAGCCAAAGGCCAAAAGAGCAAAAACATCTATCAACAGGCAACATAGTGTGTGTGTGTGTGTGTGTGTTCCCCTTTTATCTGAGGTGGTTCTCAGTGTCCCACACCTGCTCCCATTCTGCAATTGGTCACCATTTGCTCAGGATGTGATCATCCCAAGTGATCTACAAACAACATAACTGTTGACTTTCTTCTTCTCTATAATAATTAAGCCATTTTGGGAAATGAGCATGATCAAACATATTGTGGAGTGGAATCTGGTCTTTTACTGCAAGTATTCTTTTTTTATATTTAAGTTTTGAGCAGTGTAGAGTAGGGCTTGTTGTTTGTCATTTCTCCGATCACAAATGTAGACATGGTTTTATGTTTACGCGGCACGATGCAACGCATAAAAAGACAGCATAAACCATTATAATCCGTAATTATGTCCCCACTGGATGCAACAAATGCCTCGTTTATAATGGGTTTTAATGTTTATGTCTCGTCGCTCCGGCCGG